TAGTGCCTCGGGGGATGTTAGGCCAGGGAGGGATGTGCTCCCTGCTCGGAGTGCGCGGGTAGGGCCGGGGAGGGTCACTGAGCTGGGACCCCCCCGAGGGGGGCTGGGGGTGTCCCTGTGTCCTCAGACCTGAGGTGTCCATGTGTCCCTGTGTCCCCATCCCTTGGGGTGTCCCCATCCCTTGGGGTGTCCCTGTGTCCTCAGACCTGAGGTGTCCATGTGTCCCTGTGTCCCCATCCCTTGGGGTGTCCCCATCCCTGGGGGTGTCCCTGTGTCCTCAGACCTGAGGTGTCCATGTGTCCCTGTGTCCCCATCCCTGGGGTGTCCCTAGCCCTGGGGATGTCCCTATGACCCCATGTCCACATCCCTTGGGGTGTCCCTGTGTCCCCATCCCTGGGGTGTCTGTGTGTCCCCATGTCCCCATCCCTTGGGGTGTCCGTGTGTCTGTCCCTGTGTCTCCATCCCTTGGGGTGTCCCCATCCCTGATGTGTCCCCATTCCTTGGGGTGTCCATGTGCCCCTGTGTCCCCATGTCCCCATCCCTGGTGTGTCCATATGTCTCTGTGTCCCCATCCCTAGAGGTGTCCTTTGGGGTGTCCCTATCCCTTGGGATGTCTGTGTCCCGGTGTCCCCATCCCTTGGGGTGTCCCTATCCCTTGGGGTGTCCCTGTGTCCCCACCCATGGGGTGTGGGGGCAGAGCGGTGCAGAGGAGGAAGTTCCTTTCCTGGGGGTGCAGCAGGCAGTGCCCCATCCCCGGGGCAGCTTTGGTGTTCCCCCGTGCAGGGAGGGAGAGGAGGTGCCGTGGGGTGGGAAGGGAGTCCCTGTGTGCTGGAGGGAGGGGACACTGGGGGGTCCCAGCTGGAGGCACCTCTGGGGTGAGAGGTCCCAGCAGGGCACTGGGGGGACACAGGGTGACCCAGTGCAGGTGTTAGGGTCTGTCAGGGCTGTGGAGGCTGGTCAGGCAGTCCCACTTCATTAAGCATGTTAATCTTAGGGTTAATTACCTTCTGCTGGGGACTGAGGGGTTGGGATGGGTTGGATTATAAAGGGTGAGGTCTGGTACTATTCTCCCGCGGGAATGAGAGCAGCTCCAGGAGAGACTCAGCTGATCTGGGCCTCGTCGA